ACCCCCCCCCCCCGGAACACTGTCCTTGTCGGCTCAAGCTGTCATCATAAAATACAGTAGACTGGATGGCTTAAACAACAGAAATTTAATTTCTCAGGGCTAGAGAGATGATTCAGAGGTTAAGAGCATTGACTGTTCTTGCAGAAGACCCAGGTTCTTTCCCCAGCACTCACATAGCTGCTAACAACCATTGGTAACTCCAGTTCCAGGGGATCTCATGCCACCTTCTGACCTCCTTGGGCATTGTATGACATGGGTGCCCCTACCTGCATGCAGGCAATACACTCCTACACATAAAAATAATAAAATTTTTAAAAATAAAAGTTAATTTCTCAGGGATGAAGAGATTGCTCAGTGGTTAAGAACACTGGTTGTTCTTGCAGAAGACCGGGTTTGAATCCCAGCACCCACATGGCAGCTAAAAACTGTAACTCCAGTTCCAGGGGATCCAACAGCCTCTTCTGTCCTCCGAGGACATTGCATGACACGGGTGCACTTACCTATACGTAGGCAATACATGCATACACATAAAATAATAAAATATTTTAAAAGTTAATTTCTCATGGTCTAGGGGTAGACAGAGGCGGACAGAGTCATGGAGGAATTTGATCTCACTACTTTCTACCAGGTAATGCACAAGGTTGCAGATAATGAAAAGATAATTACTGTTTTGCCAACAGGACTGTAGCTACTCCATTAGCCCCTTGGAGCAGAGCATCCTTAAGATTAAGGTACCTACATGTTTAATTGCTGATGAGGGTTCTAGCTTATAGACAGCAGTTCTTCACTGTGCCCTCCCCTCATAGTGGGCAAGGAGCACATAAGCGCTCTATGTCTTTCTAAAGGCCCCACCCTCATGTCTCATCTAACGCTAATCATCTCCAAAGGCTCCACCCCTAAATGCCATCACATTGGGGTTAGGCTTTCACCATGTGAATTTGGGGGAGGCTCACACTTCAGTCTGGAATACTTTGGCTGTCTGGGTAGAGGACTTGGCATCAGCACTGAGTGCAGGCCAGGGATGCTACAGGGAGCCCCAACAGCACCGTCATAGACCTGCTGTGATGGCTGGGCCTGATTCCCTGCTTTTCTTCCCCAGGACCCTTCATTCCATGTCAGTCTGGCCTGGTGTGTGGGTGATGCACGTCTCCAACTGGAAGGGCAATGTCTGCAGGAGCTACAGGTGAATTACCAGGGCAGGGGCACAGAGGGTGCTGAGCTTCAGAAATTATGGGATAGACAAACAATGGGGAGGAAAGGATTAGATGCTCAAACCAGTGAAATGTCAGGACACCCTCATCCCCTCCCTTCCTGCTCAAAGTATAGTCCCTGGACCAGCAGCAGCAGCAGCACCTGGGAGCTAACCCCAGACCTGGGGCAGAATTACATTTTAGCAGGATCTCTAGGGATTTTTGTGCACTGCCTTAGAACCCTGATCTATAAGCTGTAAACTTACTGTGTCAGGCTGTAAGCTCCCTGCTCAGTCCCAGCTTCTTACCTGAGGTCAGAGGTTTGGGCCTGGCAGGTGTTGAGAACCTTCAGCTTCAGAGCCTGTTGCATAATGGATTTTGTTTGGGTTTTGGGTTTTTGTTTGCTTTTGAGACAGCGTCTCACTGTGTTACCCTGCCTGGCCTAGATGGAACTCATTGTGTAGATCAGCTGACCTCAAACTTGAAGCACTCCTTCTGCCTCTCTTCCCCCAAGTTCTGGGTTGGCGGGCATGTGCCACCATGTCTGGCTGCATTTTGATAGTAAATGCACTGTTCACCTTCCCATCAGTGCCCCCAAGAGGACAAGCAGTGCACATGCATGGTGCCTGGCAGCTGACACCGTTCTTGGCAGTACAGGAAGGTGGGCAGCGCAGTGTGTCCAGTGTAGCAGTACTTATTTTTCCAAAAGAAGCCAGAAATCCAGGTCATTATGTGCACTCTCCCAATTTTCTTTTCCTTTTTTTTCTTTCTTTTTTTTTTCTGGTCTTTTTGAAACGGGTCTCCCTGCAGCCCCAGCTGGCCTGGAACTCACTGTGTAGACCAGGCTGGCCTTGAACTCACAGAGATCCTCCTGCCTCTGCCTCCCCAGTGCTGGGATTGAAGGCATGCACGACCACACCCAGCCCAATTTTCTTTCTTTTTAAAAATAATGTTTTTAGGGGCTGGAGAGATGGCTCAGCAGTTAGGACACTGACTGTTCTTGCAGAAAACCCAGGTTCGAATCCTAGCACCCACATGGTGGCTAACAACTGTCCATAACTCCAGTTCCAAGGAATCTGAAAGCTTCTTCTGTTCTCCGCAGGCATTGAATGACACAGGTGCACTTACCTATATTTGGGCAATACACGCATATACATTAAAAAAATAAAATATATTAAAATTAATTTTTATTTTATGTGTATGAGTGTATTGCCTGCATGTAGGTGGGCGCACCCGTGTCGTCCAATGCCTGCAGAGTTCAGAAGAAGGCATCAGATCCCCCAGAACTGGAGTTACAGATGGTTGTTAGCCACCATGTGTGTGCTGGGAATCAAACCTGGGTCCTCTGCAAGAGCAATCAATGCTCTTAACTGCTGAGTCATCTCTCTCCTGCCCCTCTTTTTAAAAATATTTTTTATTCTTATTTTATGAGTGTATTGCCTGCATGTATGTAAGTGTACCTGGTCATGCAGTGCCCACAGAGGTCAGAAGAAGGTGTTGGATTCCCCTGGAATTGGAGTTATGAATGGTTGTTAGCAGCCTTGTGAGTGCTGGGAACTGAACCTGGGTTCTCTACAAGAGCAGCCAGTGCTAGTAACCACTGAGCCATCTCTCTAGGCTGGTAGAAAAATTTTAGAAGAAAATAAATGGCTGCAGATAGGTCATAAGGAGCTGAGCTGTTGAGAGGTACATGTATCTGTTTGGGGAAGCCCCCCCCCCCTCCTGGGACTAGTGTCTTTTCTGTGGCCCAGGGATCAGCTGTCAGACTTCCGGATTGAACTGGATTTTGACCCTGGACTAACATTCATCTTGCTACCACAGAGCTCAGGAGTCAGATGAGTCCCCAGACACCTTGTTCTTTCCAAGGCTGTGGTTCTTATTTTAATGTTTAAGACCCTTTGAGGTCCCAGGAAGTTGAAAGCTCCCACTCCCTAAAGTGCAGTAGCCTCGGCAGCTAATCTGAAAAGCTAAGCTCTACCCAGACCTTATTTGACGTTGAGGTTGTCACTTCTATTAACAAATACAATTATTGCTCTGCCAAACAGTACTTTTCAAGTTAACCAGTCTCTAGAAGGCTAAAACCTGTCATTTAATAAGTACAGCACTGAACTGGGAAAAAATAACAGCAAATTTATTTACTTATATCAAAGTTACTAATTTTGTTTTCTCTCACATTTTCTTCTTTAATGATCATAATATCTGTAGATTATTGTCTAACACAACACACACACACACACACACACACACACACACACACACACACACAAATTGCTGGTGGAGGCGGATCTGCTGCTGGGCTGGGGGCAACCCGCTGGGCTGAATTCTGAGCCCTAGCAGAACAGCAGGCAACCAGGCAGCAGCCAAAGTGCCCTGTCCTTGGGGCTGCCTTCCTGGCAGCTCAGGCGTCCATCTTTTGGCCTGTCCCTCTCTTCCCCACTTCTGCTTGTTCTTTCAAATCTTTAAGCCAGGCTCACAAGGGCCTCAGGACCTTCACACTTGCTGTGTTCTGATCACTACCCACTTCCTTCAAGTCTAGCTGAAGATCTCTCAGCTCTAGAATGTTCTCTGACCACTCTGATCAAAGACTCCACCCACTCTATCACCTGCTTTATTTTCAACTGACCTTTTGCTTCATGAAATCACATTTGGATTTGTGGTGTCTTTTTAATTTTTTTAAGTCTATTTGTATTTTATGTGTATGAGTGTTTTGCTTGCATGTATGTAAATGTACCATGTGTGTGCAATACCCTCAGAGGCCTGAAGAGGGTCAGAAAAGGGTTTCAGATCCCCTGGGACTAAAAGTTACAGATGGTTGTTAGCAGCCATGTGAGTGCTGGGAACTGAACCTGGGTTCTCTACAAGAGCAGCCAGTGCTCTTAACCACTGAGCCATCTCTCCAGCCCCACACTTTCCCAATTTTCAAGCATTGGTGCTACTTTGGATTTTTAAACAATATTTTATAAGTCAAAATCCATTCAGCCCACAGGCCATCATCTCTGTAGGCAGCTTCCCCTTGGCCTGATCATGAGGAAGAAAGCAAAGAGATGTGTTGTTGGTCCCAAACAAAACCAAGCTGCATACTTACCATTCCCTCAGAGCTCTGAGTGTGTCCTCATGTGTAAGTTGGGATAGTAGGCCTGGCCTCACAAGATTGTGAGGTGATTAGAATGATGAATGAGAGCCTGGAGCCTGCACGGTCCAAGTCCCCCTCATTGCCCAGGAGTATACTGGACTGGTTTTGTTAGCAATGCCTCTGGGTCTTCAGATTCCCCTTAACATGGCTGTCTTCTCCGTACTGCTGGCTGAAGGAAATCGTGGACGAGTTTGAAGACTCCGAGATGCTGCTGCGCTTGCATGCCGAGCAGGTCCGCTGCAAGTCTGGGAACAAATTCTTCTCAATGCCTTTAAAGTGAACCCTGGAGGCTGTCCTCGTCCCAGGCCCTTCTGCAAGCCAGCTGAGGTGGAGAAGACTGCCACCATCTATGGTCACACTGTCAGCAGGAGGTCCTAGTCACTCACATATCACTGTCCTCCTGGTGGACTACTGCTTTTGGGCCATAGGTACTGTGGTGTGGTTGTTTCTAGAGATCACCAGTAGAGGGCACCCTGGACTTCTTTATTCTTTGCTAGTCCAAGAAAAGGAGCCCTCAGGGCGGGCTCACCCACACCGGCACTCGGCAGAGGGGCCCACTGGGGTCTCCAGAGCAGTCCCTCTCTCACTGCAACAATTTGTATTTTGATGTCATTGGCCATCACACCAGTTTTTAAATTTTTTTTACTTTTATTTTTTTTTTTTTATGTACGAATGTATTGCTTACATGTAGGTAGGAGCACCCGTGTCATGCAGTGCCCATTGAGGTCAGAAGAGGGCATCGGATCCCTTGGAACTGGAGTTATGCATGGTTGTTAGCCACCGTGTGGGTGCTGGGAACAGAACCTGGGTGATCTGAAAAAGCAGTCAATACTTTTTTTTTTTTTTTTTTTTTTTTGGTCTTTTTGAGACAGGGTCTCCCTGTATCCCCCGCTGGCCTGGAACTCACTATGTAGACCAGGCTGGTCTTGAACTCGCAGAGATCCACCTGCCTCTGCCTCCCAGGTGATGGGACTACAGGCCTGCACCACCACACCCAGCTAGCAGTCAGTGCTCTTAACTGCTGAGCCATCTCTCCAGCCCCCACGCCAGTTTTTTAACTCATTGTACCCTGTCAAACTGGGACATAGGGGCTTCCATGGGTCTGTTACTCTTCTTTATCACATTTTCCCCTCACCCCATTCTGTGCCAGAAGAGGCCACTTTGGGGCCAGGACACAGGGTGCTAATTTGTGGTCTGCATCAATTTTTTTCATTCCTTCTTCCCACTCAGCCAGGTGCCTGGGGAGAGTCAGGCAGATGTTTCATTTTGGCCTAGCTGTGGCTGGCAGCCAGGCCGCCAACGCTCTATGGCCTCTGGCCTCTCCATCAACTTTCCTAAAGAGGCAGAGAGACAACCCTCCTGTTGTCCAAATGCTCCTGCCTCTGTGGATGAGCATTGGGCGGGTGAGGGGTAGGAGGGTAGAGAGAGGGCCAGGTAGGTAGGAGATTTTTACTTTTTCACAAAAGCCTCACCAGGGCAAAAGACAAGGCCTTTCCACTTGTCATGGGAATTTTTAGTGATGGATAAAAAAGTATTTTTTAACAGTTTTAAATTATGTTTAATAAATAAAACTTGCATTTTTTTAATTTGGGGTCTTTAGACTGCTTCTATCCAACAAGATGAGAGGTGCCTCTCCTCTCTCCAGCTGTGCTCCACAGTTCAGGTGCTCTTCAGAGGCTCTGTTATGACTTCTTTTTAAATTTTTTTTTTTAAATTGTGTGTGTGTGTGTCTGTGTGTGTGTCTGCAACATAATTCTAGGTGCCCTTGGAGGCCAAAGAGGGCATTGGACCCCCTGGAGCTGGAGTTACAGGCGGTTGCAAGCTACCCCATGTAGGTGCTGGGAACTGAACTCAGGTCCTCTGAAAGAGCAGCAAGTACCCTTAACCACTGAGCTGTCTCCACCTTCTGTTTTGGCTTCCTCCCCGCCCCCCAGTGTATATTTTTATTGAATTTTGTGTGCATTTCATACATCTTAATCATATTTAGACTCTCCTCCCCGTCTGCACCCCCCACCAGATTTTATGCATTTTGTCATATATGTTAAGGTCTATCAAGTCAAATTTGTGTCCCCAGATGTCCCTTGGTGTGAGTTCATCCACTGGAGCCTGGTCAGCTTATTTAGCCTCACTCCTTTAAGGGAGACCACCTCTTCCTCACCCAGGAGTGATCAGCTGCCAACAGTTCCTCAGCTAAGATTTTGACCTCTTGCCCATTTCCCTAGTTCTTTGCTGGTTTTGTATCTGGTTTGAGTTCACGTGGGTCTTGTGCATGTCGTCACCATTGCTGTAAGTTAATATGAGCAAGTTCCTAGAAGCCTGGAAAACTCTGTTTCCTTGTAGTTATCCATCACCCCTGGCTCTTAGAATCTTTCTGTCCCATCCCTTCTTCCACGATGGACCCTGAGCCATGGGTGGGTGAGGTTTATCCAGGGACACACACACTCTTCACTCTGGTCAGTTGTGGCCTTCTGTGTTAATCACCCTCTGTTACATGAGAAAGCTTTGTTGCTGAGAGTTGAGAGATATATTAGTATTCTCACTACCCCCTGTTCACTATGTTCCATGAGCCTTTGGGTATAGAGGTTCCATTGTAGATGTGTCCCTTAGGGCTGGGCATCTGATACTTATTCTCTGTTTGACCAGTTGTAGAACTTTGTAATAGTCTCCATCAGTTGCAAAAAGAAGCTTCTTTGATGAATGGTAAGAGGTGTGCATGTCTGTAAATATAAGGATATATAGTTAGCATACAGTAAAAAATAACATTTGTCTAGGAATGTGACAGTATCTATGACCTCTCTAGCCACGTGCATTTAGCTGTGTTTACAATACTGTACATGAGTTCCCTCCCATTGAGCAGGCTTTACCCCAAGATAAAAGTGCCTCTACCGCACCAATAAAAATAGTTTGCTATGCCCATCATTGTTTTGCTTATTAGGCTTTAAAACTAGAATTGGGCCTTTAATTATCTCCTCCCTTACCAGCTTGCCTACTATCTAGAACTATAAGAGCTCATCTTCAGGGAAGAGCTTCCAGGTCATTTCCAGCTGTGTTGCTTCAAGTCCTGTGTCCAAAGTATGTCCTGTCTTCGGCAATAGGGTCTTACCTTCAAGTTCTGGGAGGCAATCAAGGGCTGTGGCAATATCCTGTGTTATTTGGGGAGTCTCTTGGACTACCTTGACCAACAACTTGAAGTTTCTTCTGTCTGGCCCTGTTTCTTGTTATATAGCCTTCAGCTATACATACACACTTATTTACAGATATCGTATGTGTATTTTTCTGTAGGCTTTTGAACTAATGCATTTCCCTCTGGTTTTTTCACACCACCAAAGCATTATTTAGCTCTCCTCTCTCTCTCCCTGTCTAAACCTCCCTCCTCCCTCCCTAGTTAAATAAAGTATCCCCATTTCCCCCTTGATAATACCTGTCTCCTATTATCCTCCTTCTCTTGAGCTCCTTCTTACCCTTTACCCCCATGGATCCTTGTATAACTGTTCCTCCTCCCTCCCCAGTTAAATATCCCCATTTTCCCCCATTTCCCCTTGGTAACACCTGTCTCCTCCTATCCCCCTCTTTCCTGCCCCTTCTTTCCCTTTACCCCTGTGGTTTCTTTCCAGTTTTCTGGATCCTCTGGTTGTATCAGGACATATACTCGCATATAAGGATTTAGTGTTAAGATCCACAAATGAGACAGAACATACATCTCTCCAACTTCTGTTATGACTTTTTGAAAAATTTATTTACAGTGTGTGTGTGCATATGTGTACACACCATGGCACAAGTATGGAGGTTGGTGATAACTCTCAAAAGCAAGTTCTTTCCTGCTATGGTGTGAGATCCAGGGATCAAACTTAGGTTGTCAGGCATGCTAGGAAGTACTGTGCAGTGAGCCATCTCACCAGCCCTCTGTTGTGATTTCTAAGGTGGGCTAGAGAAGTGGGAACGATGCCTCAAGAAAACGAAGGTGGGGAGCTGGGAAAATAGGTCAGTCCTATCCTTAGAACCTACCTAAAGAAGCTGTTGTAGCCAGCATTTAGAATCTCGGTGCTTGGGGTGGGGGGTAGGGAGTAGAGACAGGAGAATCCCTTGAGGCTCACTGGCCAGCTAGTCCAGCCTATCTGGCAAGCTGCAGGTCAATGAGATCCAGTCTCGAAAAAGAAAAAATTTTTTAAATTAAGATGGATGGCTCCTGAGGAACACCCAAGATTGACCTCTAATCTACACGAAACACACACACACACACACATATCCTCACATAAACATGCACCCACATGAACACTTCCCCACATACACAAAGAAAAGGAAGGTAGGGTGACCCCATCTGCCAGGCTTTCGCAGTGGAACTGCATCTAATTCATGGAGCCTGGGGTTTGCCTCATCTCAGGGAATCATCACCCCCTCCTCAAGCACAAGTATTTAGACTTTATACTGCTGTCACCTTACCAAGTCCTTTCTAGGGCCTTCCCACCTATTCCTTTCCACAGCCCTGCCTGTTGACAGTAAACTGGATAGGAGTGGTGATTGTTATATGGAAGAACTGGTTAAGTGACTTGCCTGGGGATATAACTTCCACCTTGTTAGGGCCTGACTCAGCCCTCACTTCAGCTTGTGCCCTGGTACAGCCCATGCCAACCCTGCACACACCTCCTGCTCAAGCATATGGCTCTGGCTCCCACTTTGTGGTTCATGCCCCTTGCAACTCTACCTTTCCCTGGTCCTAGAGAGCACACTCATGCCTCATTCCCCCAGTGCCACCACATGCATATCTGCTGGTTCTAGTTGGCCACATACTTTGTTAGTGGCATATGAGGTCAGAACAAAGAAGAAGCGAGGCATGTTTTCTGGCCTGCTGGCATCATGGCAACCCAAGTTACATAGTCCATGTTACCAACACCTGCTCTGAGCCTGGCCCTGAACTGAGCACTAGAACAGTTCAGGTCCGGCCCTCTGTGTGCTCGCAGTGAGGAAAGCAAGCAAGGTGTAAGGAGTAGAATCTGTTCTCAACCTTGTACTTGTCTAAACCACTGAGGTCTACTCCCCTGGGACGATGTGGCTCCGGAGGTTGTCTGTGCTGAGGATGGAGTTAAAGGGCAGCCACTTTGAGAAATGGGCCAAGATCAATAAGCAGCTCTTCAATAGAGAATGGAGGTGGTGACAGAGGAAGGAAGCCTGAGCTTCGCTGAGCAGGAGGGGGCGTGCAGGTCATGTCTGAGAGGCTGGCAGCCTTGGCTTGGCGGGTACCCAGATATGCAGTGTGCTTCCAGAGCACAGCTCCTTCAGAAGCACGCCGCTGACAGTGCAGACACAGCTAAGGCTCTTCCATAAGAGGAGGAGTGTACCAGAAACCCGGAAGATAAATGGAGACGGAATACCACAGCTGGCTGCTTCACTCCTAGGTAGGTGGTGCTCAAGGAAGAAATGCTCTTGATAGGGGGTTCATCACACATCATCAACACATCTGGCCCTGGTGTCTATCCTCAGATATTCCCCGGCAGAGCAGAGAAATGATCATCTCAAGTCCTCACTGGCAGATTTCCATGTGGTACTGTGGCCCTCTCCATCACCTGTCTAGACACCCCAACTCTTGTTTCCAAGAGACAGGGAAAATACTTGGCTTGTTTGTTTATTCCTTGTCTTGGAACCCAGAGTCCCAAAGACTGCCCTGTTACCCAACCAGGCCTGTTTTTTCAATGTTGTATAGTGCCAATCACTGAGACGATGAGTGACGAAATGTGAGGAGGCAGGAGCCTCAAATCAGCCTTACCTGCCATAGGGCTCAGGGCTATTTATGGGGGAAAGAAGCAGGGTGGTGGTCTGAGGCTTAGGGAGGTGATTGGAGGTAGGGAAGAGAGGAGTAAACTGGGTTGTGCACTTGCATGATACACTGGGCACCTGTGTAAGCTCCAGGGATAGGTTGGTGGTTTCAGCCCTTTTGAGCTCCCTCCAAGTCCTGAAAAAATGGGCAGCCATTCTCCCCTGACCATCACATTAGAGGGCTTATCTACAAACAAAGCTAAAGGGAGTGTACTGCTTAGCTATGTACTTAAAAATACTTTTCATTTTATGTGCTTGATCATTTGCTTGCATGTATATAAGTGCACCACATGTGTGCAGTGTCCACAGATGTTGGAAAAGGGCATTAGAGCCACTGGAACTGGAGTTGCAGATGGTTATTAGCCACCATATGGGTGCTGGGAACCAAACCTGGGTCCTCTGAAAGAGCAGTCAGTGCTCTTAACCACTGAGCCACTTCTCCAGCCCCATTAGCTATGTGGTTTTTAAATGGGGAAAAACAAAACAAGCAACAAAACACAAGTGAAGCTCTGGGAGTTGATTCTGGTTTTCCCTCAGTTTCAGACACCTTAATAGTGGACCTGGATCTGGAGAGCTGGGAAACAGAGGCCCTAGGTCTACTTCCAACCCATAGCAACATCACTGAGGAAGAGACCCCACTTATTCCCCTCTTAGCTGGGTCCTCCTTTGACAAATAAGGAGATAAACCCTAAGGAGGAAACAACATGCTCCAGATTCCAGTTAATGAGGTCTGGGGCCAGAACCCAGGGACCTGACTTCTAATCCAGAGCTTTTTGTACAACCCCTCACAACAAATGAAACTGTGCTAGATTCTGCCTACGCTCTGATTCGCCTCCAAGAAAAGAAAGTTGCAATATTATTTCAGCTATAATATTGGCAAAGTGTGAATAATGTTTAAAACTGATTGGTGAGGGGCTGAAGAGATGGCTCAGTTGTTAAGAGCACTGGATGCTCTGGCAGAGCAGATTCCCAGCACCCACATGGTGGCTAACAACCAGCTGTAACTCCTGTTCTACTGGAATCCGAAGCCCTCTCTGACCTTTGCAGGCACATGTGCATGACACCGGTGCACTTACATATGTGCAGGAATACACATAAAGTAAATAATAAATTTTTTTAATGGTTAAAACTGGTGAAAGAGATGAAACTCACAAATCTCAGACGTGCGGGTCCCCTCGGGCTTTGGGTACTGGCTAGTATAAATTTAGTTACACATAGGTATTCCAGGCCACTTTGGAGCCACAAGGTGTCTGAACTAGTCATTGGGGACTTCATGAACAGATGGGGGGGGGGCCATTTCCTTGAGCCAGAAGTGACCACCAGAGCTGTCCAACCACCAGCTCTAAGAACACTGCCCACCTTCCTGGGTATTTATTTATTATTTTATTACTAGGTAGCCCCATAAACACACTTTTTAAAAAACTGATTGGGGAGCTGGGCGTGGTGGTGCATGCCTTTAATCCCAGCACTTGGGAGGCAGAGGCAGGCGGATCTCTGTGAGTTAGAGGCCAGCCTGGTCTACACAGCACGTTTCCAGGCCATCTGGGGCTGCAGGGGAGACTGTCTCAAAACGACATCAACAACAACAAAACAAAACCGGGAATAAATTTTGCAAATGATTTCAATGCACTCGCGTTAAACGGGCAGTTCTGTTGTCGATCAGAACACTGTAAATTCCCAAAATCAGATTTCAACTTGGAGGTCAGAAATCCTTTTCCCAGGCGAAGGACCCCAAAGAGAAGCCAGTCAGTGTGTGTGGGGGGGGGGATGACATCTCCTTCACCTTGTCTCCAAACCCCAGCTTCTTTTCCACAAGAAGCTTCACCTAGTGAGTCGGTTTAAACCGGCCATTTCTAAGACCCTGGGCCAGGTCTCCTGTTTTATCGGAGATCTGGGAGGGCTGGGGGTGTCCCGTAGGGCATACTCTAGGGAACACTGCCCTCAGGTCAGGTAAGGACCCATTTCCGGGTCAGTGGGGAGGTGATGCTTCTGCTCTCGCTCTCGCGGTCCTCACTTGGCATCCCAGGTCTCCCATCCGCTGCACCCCCCTAACCTTCGGCTGGGCAGTCTCTGAGAACTCTTGACTCCCCAGCGTCCACGCGGGAGCAGAATTAAGTGTGGTCCAAGCTCCGCGAGGCGGTTTGCTCTTCCGCCCAGCGTTTTGTTGGGCCTAATCGACACACTTGACTTTCACATAATAGTGACCAAGTAGAGCTGGCTTTGCTTGGAACCCAACCTAATATATGCACACCCTCAGCCTAAGATTAGTTTTCCCGCATCCCGCGTCTTCTAAACTCGCAATCTCCTCGTCCCGCGCACCCCAGGCGCCTCAATCCCTTATTTCGCAATTGATAAAATCTACTCAAGAGCTTAAGACACTCCGGGGCTTAAAAAAATTACTTTTACCGAGTAAGTTCGGGTGTGCGTATGTGCGCGCGCGCGTGCGTGCCACAGCAGCGCGCCTGTGGAGGTCAGAGGACAACCGTCTGGAGTCCGTTCTCGCCTTCCACCAAGTGGGTCTCGCAATCCAACTCAGGTGGTCAGGCTTGGTGGCAAGTGCCTTTACCCTCTGAGCCATCGCATGCCACCACTGGGGCTTTTGAAGAGGGAGCGTCAAGCCAACTAACTCCTTTTGTCTGGGAGGATTTGTTGTGATGTTTTAAAGTTTAAAGCAAGACACTCAGATCCTCCCCCAATCCTCTTCCCACACATCTACCTCAACACCCTCTATCCCCCCACCAGGTGGCAGGAGGAATTTACGCTCTTCCCCCTCGGGGAGACCATGCCTTCCTTGCACCCTCCTTTAGCAAGGTGTCGAGTTAGGGGGTCACCTCTGCCACCCCAGAAGCAGAGATGAGAACGACGCAGGCTAGGGAAGGTTTGTTGCCATCAGGAAAGTTGGAAAGGGTCACCCACCTGCCGGGGCGACGCAGATGGCACCTGCTTCTAGGAAGCGTCGGGTTAGGTACCGCCCCCAGCCCCCGCCCGTGTCTGCGCGCAGGGAGCGCACTGGCCCTTTAAGAGCGGCGGCGGCTGCTGCACTGGGAGAAGGGCTGAGAGCGCCCCTAGCCGCGCCGGAGTCGCGGGGGACGCGGGGCGCCGTCTCCCTGGCTGGCTGAATAGCTCACTCGTTCTCTCGGGCCGGCTCCTCGCGTTCCTCCCGGGAACTGCCTGGGGATCCAGGCCTGGTTGGGCGCGGCAGCGAGCGGAGTCCCCAGCGGGAGGCGCGCGCTCTGAGCAGCGCCGGGCCCTGGGCATGGACAGAAGGAGCAAGGCGCGCAGGGGGCGCCGCGGGACTGGGCAGCCGGAGCGCTGAACCAGACAAAGGCTCCGGAGTTGCGCTTGCTCTCGGGGGCTCCGGGGCCTGGGCGCAGCGCGCCGAGGCTGCGGGAGCCTAAGGCGGGCAGCTTGGCCTGTCCCCTCTCCGGCGGGCGGGCCCCGCGTGTTCGGACCTGCTCTGCCCGCTTCTCCTCGGGTTTGGGAATTTGCAGAGGGGACCTGAGAGGCTCCGGCGGGCACCGGTTGCCAGAGGTCTGCCGCACGCCCGCGGGGCCGGGAGTCAGGGAGCGTCGCAAGTTTCCAACCCGCGCACGAGGACCCGGCGCCCGCCAGCGAGGCCGCCCCGCGTGCAGCGCTCCGGACCCGGCTGGCAGACGGGAGCATGGGCAGCGACCCGAGCGCATCTGAACCGCCGGGCTGGGCTGCCAGCTGCCTGGGCGGCCGGGCTCGGCTTCTCCCGCTGCTGCTGGTGCTTCTGGACTGCCTGGGCCGCGGCTTAGCGGCCGAAGACGCCGAAGTGCACGCAGAGGTAAGGACCCTTGCTTGCTGTTTTGCGGAAAGATCGGGTGCGAGCCACGCCCGTAGGGGGCCTGCAGGTGGGTGGGCGGAGACTCACCCCCTGTTCTGCGTGGGGGTTGACCCAGGCAAGAAGGCCTGGGGCGAAAGCGGAGTTGGCAGGCGCCGCTCCCCGACTCGCCCTCGGCTGCGCACCACTTCTCCAACCCCGGCGGGCACAGGGCTAGTGGCTGCTCTGAACTCTGCAGCGGCTCGGGGCACCGATCCGCCCCAGCCTGGCTCCCAGCAGCGGCTTCCGCAGCCCCAAGCCCTCGCCTCCAGTCCATTCCTCGAGAGCCAAGTCAGCGCACCGTGGGCTATTTGCTAGTGGGAAGGGGGATGCCGCGGGTGGGTAGAGCGCAGACCGAGCTGGAACCTGGCTGCGCTCGCGCTTCGCCAGACACTCATTTGGGCGACCGTGACACCGTGCGTCGCAGGCCAAGATGGCTGGGGGAGGGGGAAACACTAGGCAGCAGGCCAGCTGCGGAGGTGCTATGGCCACTTTCTCGTTCTTACACAGAAACATCCTCAGGCCAGGGTGGGGGTCTGGGCTACAGACCTTATCTCCCCCAACACTTTTTCCCACCAGGGCCCCTCCTCCCTGGGGCGCTGGGTGAGACAGGGTAGAGTCCACGCCTCTTTTCTTTGGTAACTGGGCTGACGTCTCTATGCTGGCCGCGCCCCGGGATTGGTCCGCCGAAGACCCGGCGCGGTCTCCCGGCACAGAGCTGGGTCCAACCAGCGCTTCCCATCCCAGGCTTCCCCTAACACCAGCTTTATTACCCCAGGGCGGTCCAACTTTTTGAAGATCCTCTTTCCCGCCCTAGGGACATAAGGGGACAGGTGAAGAGTCTGGAGAGATGATGGTCGTGGAGCTGTGTCGTCTTTGTAGGCTGGGGGCTTCGGTGCCCATTGACTGCCCGGAGCCAAGACCCGAGAGTCAGAGCGCTCTTTCTATTTGCAGATAGCCTGGTGCTTTGTCCCAGTCCAGCCTCTGTGGCTTCCCCACCTCCCTGGTCTGCCTGAGAGATTTTTTTCCAATGAAACTCAGCCCCTTCCCCACCCATCTTTAATAAAAACTTGTTGAAAGTGCAGGGAATTCCTCTCAGGCTTCAATTACACCTCCCAACCAGTTTTCCACGTGCTCTGTTCTCTTCACCTACCAGGTCAGGGTGGGTTACTGGGAACCAGCCCTTCCTTTGGGATCCCAGCCCACACTCAGTGTGCCCCCACCCAGTCCATATGGGCAGCTTGCAGAAGCTTATAGACAGTTCCTACTGGTTGGAATTGCATGTTTGCTTCTGACCCAGGTACTGGTTGGAAAGGGCACCTGCCTCTAGAGCAGATGCCAAAGACTTTCAAGGCCCAGGTTCACCTTACAGAATTTGTGGCATGCTCACACAGGAGTGATTACAGACTGCTGTGCATTGTGAATGGGCCTCCTGGATAGCCAGGATTTAGGCACTGGAACCTGAGCCTTGAGGGCCTTTCTCATTCCCTTTAGTTCTGCAGGTCTCCAATCATACCTCCTTCCAAATAAAGAAAACACTCACAGGTCAGCATACCCACAGCCTACCACCTCCAGGGATGAGGGCTCTGGTAGCCCTGGCTAGGATTGACTTCTGGAATTCAGCTGGGTTGTGCCTGGCCCCTGGCTGGAAGGGACTTTGGAATATTGCATGTTGGAAGCCATGATGGATGGAAGGCTACAGATGAATGTCCTAGCTCTAAAGTTGACTGCTCCAGGAAGCCCATTGGGACTGGCTAGATTGGGCCCAAAGAGTCCTTTGGTCTCAGTGGCCAGCCCATCTGCTCAGTCTGGGCCAGGCTTACACAGTGTCCAGATCCCCTTTCCTTGAAGAAGGGCTCTCTTCCTTGCCTCAGGGTCCCCACAGCTCTAGACCCCTGGTCAGCTCATGGCTATGTGTACCTTGGTAGCCAAGTCCCTCTTAACCCTCCTAGAGTGGCAACCACAGGAATTCACTAGGCTAAGGAACGTGGAAAACTAGCCTGTGCTACAAGTTGCCACACACCTGCGGCCTGCCAGGCTCAAGCCCAAAGAAGCCTGCCTTCCTTGGAAAAGCCACCCCTGAGCTACTCTGCTCTATCCCGTCCCACCTTCTCACTTGGACAGGCACTGTGTTCTAGAGCTCCACCTGGATGAAATGCTACCTTGTCACCCTCAGGTCCCTGTCCTGTTCTGCTGGCTATATATGAATGACTTTGGTTTTCATCAGAAAAGTTTGTGTTCTTCCCTCCCCACACACACCCAACCTCACACTCAGCCTATCCTGTGGAGGTGACTCAGGCTGCCAGAGTTCACAGATGTAATGCCACCAACACTAACACTGAAACATAGCCCCACCTTCCCTAAACAGAGCCACATGTCTTCCTGCCCCCATCTGGTCATTGAGCAAGATGAGTGAAAGGAGGCTGGAGTCAACTGGAGTTCTCATCTTGACCTTCAGGCCTGACTAGAGAGCCTCAGTTTGAATACTCATCTCTTCTTTCGAGTCATTGATGGCCCCTCTAGGTCCCCACATACTAATATTCTTTCTTAACTGTGGAATGGAAGTGCAGAGGCCTCCTATACCCTAAAGGGAAAGGGGTTCATGTTAGGGTTATATCTGGGGAGACTGGGAGACTCTGTCTCCACACAGTCAGGGCACAAGGAGAACAGCTGGGGACTAGAATTTGAATGGGGACATCTTAGCCCTTAACATGTCCCTGTGTTCGGGCTACCCCTTGGGCCTACCCATCAACCACCTCCTTGGTTACCCTCATCTGAACAGCACAGAGACTGACCCTGCCTACTGTGACCCCTGAACATATACACCATCCATTCCTCACCCAAAGAAGGAGACTTTTAAAAGACACCCCTGAATGTGGACAGGGACCCTCGTAGAAACATGCCCAAACATCCCTGGAAGAAGATTCTCCCCTAAAGCTGGCTTACCTACTACCCAGACTACTGATGCCAGCCCACATGGCAATTCTGTGGGCATAGAAATGCTACTCCCTGTGTTTACTTCTGGCCACCCCTCTGTGCCCCTTGTGTAGCTTGATCCATATGTTTCCTGCCATTGCCACCCAGCTGGGAGTTTGGCTTCTGCCTGAGGGTAGCTGTGGTAGTTGCTGTGGCGTGTGCTGCACCCTAGTTCAGAGTTGGCACACTCGATGTCACCCTAAGACTTAAGTGCCTCACACTGTTGGACACTGAGGTAGGGACAGAACCCCATAACCAGCCCTACTTGAGTGCAGAAATGTGTTCTGTGAGTCAGAAGACACAAAGGGGCTGGGGACACTCTGCTTGGACACAGGCTTCATTACAGAGAGGATCCTGGGAGAATCCACAGATAAATATGAGGACCTGAGACCCCAAGAGTAGCTGAGCTGGTCAAACCCCTAGAGGGCTTGGGAAATAAGGCTCCCCTGCACCAGTCCCCAAAGGACCTGTGGTTCTGGGAATGCCTAGAAACTACTGATCATGAGGATGGGCCCTCAGAGAGTGACAGACTCTGAAGCCTTAAGCAAGTATAGTAGCCCAGTATGAGCTGGCCCTGGGTCAGAAAGACAAAAGAGTACCCTCAGCAGACCTGATATCCACCCTATCAGGATAGATAAGAACAGATAGGAGAGAAGCCAGGTAACAGCCACCAGCCAACCTGGAGATGCCCTGTCCTGCACAGCTCCTACAGCCATTGATGACTGAACCACCAAATAACAGCCCAGAGTCCGGGGTCTGCATCAGCTCTGCAGGGCTAACCTGCAGCTCTGGGGTACATACTACCCTGGAGGGGTGAGGACCCCCAGCTCCATGTCTCGCATTTAGCCTACCACTTAGTACATAAGCCCATGAAAAATAGTGGCAAAATTTGTGGCTGAGAAGCAAAGTGGCATTTGCTGTTAGCAAGTCATTGAACCTGTCTGAGCCTGTTTTCCTGCCTATAAAATGAGAATAGCCATAGTGTCCACTTGGAGTTACTGGGAAATTTATCTGTTTATAGGCAATGCTGTAAATGCTATGTAGAGTGGGCCACGAGGTCCAGAGGTTATTTCAGCACCTCAGCCTAGAATTCTGTCCTGGAACATTCTAGAAGCATTTTCATATTTCTTCCTTTTAACTCTTAGTGTGTGGGGGAGGAAACTAATCCCTCTAGTTGAGATAAAGTACGTCAGGTTTCACAGCCAGACTGCAAAGCTAGAGTTTGAATTTGGATCCTTCTGGCTTAGAGCCTCACATTAGTTTAAGGTCAGGTTGGATCAAAGGTCAAAGCCCAAAGTGGCATCCTGCCAGCTTCCACCTTCAGCTGGGACTGAGCCAGATAGGAAGACTGTTTCAGGTGTTCAGCCAAAGCTGCCCTCATCCCCACCCACCTCTACCACCTAGGCCCTACCTTGGGCAGCCCCACCTAGGAACTGTCACCTACAGGGAAAGGTCCAGGTGAGACCTGAGACCTGATCTCAAGCCAACATCGAAACTCCTGGCAAACAAAAGCCCCTTCCGCCCCACCCCTCCCCGCCCACAGGCCAAAGGACCCATTTGTTTTTCCTTCTGGCTAAAGCCTGTGGGGGTGGGTTGGGCAGCCACCTCCTTCCTGCTTCCCTGGCTGGAAGTCCCCCAACCACCTAGAGTCCCTACCATCACCCACAGCTCTCCTTAAGAGCCATAGAGGAGCCAGGGCCCTGGTGATACTGTCCCATAATCTCAGCTACTCCTGAGGCTGAGGCAGGAAGATTCTAAGTTCAAGGCCTGCCTGGGCTACAGAGCGAATTCAAGGTCAGCCTGAGCAACATAGTGAAATTCTTGTTTCAAAATAAAAAGTAAAAAGAAGGCGGCAGCTAGCGTTCAGAGGCGGAGAGCACTCCCCTAGCATGTTCCAGGCTCTGCAGTCAATCCCCAATGCTTAGGGTGGGGATAGGGGAGCTGAAGCTTGGAGCTGAAGAGATGGAGAGGTAGCTCAGTGGTTAAGT